TTCCGACGTGGATGTTTTCGTCGTCCTCTCACGTGCCAAGGATTTGGTCGTTTTGATTCGTCGTTCTCATCGTTCTCACGTGACCTCCGTTGTTTTGCGTCTAGCGCATCGCGCGAGGCCTAGGTCAGACTAAAATCGCCGCCTCTCTGCTCTTCTTGCTTTTCTGTTCTCTTTTTTTTTCCCCGTTCTTCCTCTTCCTCCTCTCCTCTCTCTATGTTTTCCTCAGACTCTCTCCGTTCCCTTCTCCTCCGCCGAGACCTAGGTTAGACTAAAACGCCGCCTCTCTTCTCTTTTTCCTTTTCTCCTCGTTTTTTTTCCGTTCCTTTCTCTTCCTCTCTCCCACTCTCTATTTTTTCCTCGGGCTCTCTCGGTTCCCTCCTATTCCGCCGACATATCATCTCCCTCTCCGACACCCAACATCACAACTGCCCCATCTCCCACCAGCCCTGGGATTCCCCCCTCCGCCTCCCTCCGTTTCAAGTCATCGTCGCTAGATCCCCTCCCGGGATCTCCATTCCCTCGTCTTCACTTTATTTTTAAATTTTTTGCTCCTCTTTTTTTTGTTTTTGTAGGTTGAATATCAATATCAGGTAGTATTTCGGTATTTTTTTTGGCTTTTCGGTTCTTTTTCTGTTTCACTGTCTACATGGGAAATTTTTTTTTGTGATGTTATATCTTGAAATTCTAGGGCTTAATAGCTGATCATTTAGTGGTTTTTTTTGTATATTGACTGGTTGTATTTTTTTTTGGCTTATTCAGAGGATTTTTTTTTTGAAAAACTGGTTTGCTCTCGGCCTCCTCTTCGCCTGCGCCTCCGCTAAAGTCTTCTTCGAAGAGCGTTTCGATGGTATCTTCATCTCCCGATCTCTCCCTCTGACTTCTACTTGTTCTTTTTGTGAATGTTGAAGTAGTAATTGAGTTTGGTTTTCAGTTATTTCCAATTTGTCTTAGCTTTACTTGTCGAAATTAATTTGTGGAAGATCGGATTTGGATTAGCGGTTGATGTATGGATTCCAGTTTTCTGATTGGATGATTTGAAATGTGAATGGAATTCTGGTCTCTTGCCTAGATCTGTTGATTCTGTCCATATGAAGTTGAGACTTGGATTTCTTTTTGATGATTCGATGTAATGGGTTGTCGGATGTAATTCATCTTTTTTATTTGTATGTGAGGACTGTTTTCTGGGCAGTACACTTGCTTCCCGGATGTTGCTTGGTTACTAGATAAGTTAGAGGTGTGATTTTGTGCGATTCCAGGGGGATGATGGTGATGTTATATGATCTGTTTATTTAGCTTTCCAGTTGAGATGTTTGGAAAGAATTGAATATGTTAACGGTTTAACAATGTTATTGTGTCGGTTCTTGATGGCTTTGAACAATGTTTTTGTATTGCTGATGGTTAGTGTTATCAACTGCACATTGTTTCAATTGGACGAATATGTTTATGTAGAACAATGTACAATCATGTCAGTTTGTTTTTGTGTTTTGGACACCCCACTTGTGCTAGACTAAGGGAGGAATGTTGGAATGTTGGTAGATAGCATTCTTAGATATCATTTTTTGTCCAAAAGGAAGTCTGTTAAAATGTAAAAGCAGTTGCTATTTGATTTTTGTACTAAAATGAATGTAAAAGCAATTTCTATTTGATTGTCGTACTAAAATGCTTTGTGCTGATAAACACTTTTAGATTGCACATGCATGTGATTGTAGTGTACTTCTATGAATTTCATATTACCTTGTGTATTGGAAAGTGTAGCATCTCTTTTTAAATATGTGATTACACGTGACTATTCCTCAAATCAATTTTGAAACAAATACTTGGACTGCATAGGTAGTGCCAAGTCTTTCTTTTCTCAGAATTCAAGTGCCAAACTGTCCATATGTTAACCCTTTAAGGTTTGATGGAATCCAAATTAAGTGAAAATTTTCTTAAGTACTTGTAAGTCTTATAGCATGACTTGATGTATCATGTCCTGTAGCTTCATCATAATTGAAGTATTTTTCCACTTTTTACTTATTTTGAGGTATTTGCTTCTGTCAAATGTTGAAGAAAAATTTAAAGATGTGTTAACTACAACTCGGTTTCAAATTATATCTAATTTGATTTTTTTATTTGTTATTTGTAATATATTAAAAATTAATTACTTCCTGATTATTTTGTCATGCCTTGAATAGATTGAGGCAGTTTTCAGCAACAAGAAGATGTACAATGCAGAGATGACTGTTGTGATGGCGAGTCGAAGTTCAAATTACTGCTTGTAAGATTTTTCTCCAAATATTTTTTTTATCTGGTTTTCTTTTAATTTGCAGAATTAGGTAACATTGTCCCAATGTATATCTACAAGCTCATTACTTATTTCTTTTTTCTTTCTCTAATTTCTGACATCATAAGAAAAAGATTATTATAACAATGACAGACAAACCGTCCTTGCTTAGAGGAAACAGAGAAAGGAAACAGTTAAAGCAAAAAAAAAAAAAAGAGAAAATGTTGAAAAAACTATACACTTTTTTACTTTATGCTGACTTGTGATGTACTTCCTGCGCCTAAGTGTACCAGCCTGAGACTAAGTGTATCAACATGAATTAATATAGTTGATGAACATGTTCTGTTATTGAATCAAAGCTACTTTTAAATGTGATTGGATATACCTTTCCAGCAAAATGAAGTTCTTTCATGTCAAGAATTAAATGAGAATGAAACAGGCAGACCTTGATAATTGTCTACTCCATGAGGGTTTATATGTGTAGGTTTCAAAAAAATTAATGGTCCTTCTATCCACTTTGATAACAAAACTAATTAACTTTTCCTAAATTATTGGGTTGCAATCACTTGTTTATGCCAAGTTCTAAATAATTATATACAGTGTGTACAGACTAGGAATTCATTGGCTAAGCAGTAGGAATTCATTGGCTAAATTTATACCCTGTGATTTACATTGTAGGTTCAACAAGCTTTTTCAGACTTGGAGAGGTGATTTTCCATTTCATTGGCTAAATCTATTCTTAGTTCCAGCTTTATTTTGCTATTGCTAACTGTTAACTGAAATTTTCTTTTGATTTTTTTTTGTGTTTCTAATGGCTTCCTTGAAGATCTGTAATTTATCTTCCTTCATTCTTGGCTATTATTCCTTTCCTTGCATGTTGCTTATTAATTTTTTTCTGTGCTGCCTTTGAACTTTGGATGGTATAAAAGTTGCTGAAGGGCTTTCTTTTGAGGAATGTTTGCTTGGCTAAATAATATATTGTTGTTGGGAATTGGCCAGAACTGTCAAATGAATCTCTTTTTAACATTTTCTTCTAAACATTTTCTTGATGAAAGCTAAAAAGTTTGTCAGTTCAAAACTAACTGATCTTTCAGCAAAGTAGTAGTTGTTTTAATATGCATGATTAGGATTGATCATTACATATTGGCAAAAGTAACTTATTTGATGCAGTACTGATAGGTATACGGTCATGTTGACATCTTGCATAGCACGTATTCAGGTTGAGTCACTAGGTCAAATGAATGTTTAAGTTTCACAGTTTGAGGTACCTCCTCTTAAATGCTCTGACCCAAGGGCTAATCATGATATTTTATCTGTTTACCCGCAGGGGTCGTGGATATCTTGTTCCAGACGATGTCTACAAGGTAATAGTTTGCGGATGACCTTTTTCTTGTATTCCCTTCTAGAGAAAGCATTGCATTTAGTTTCAGCTGGTCAATACATGTTTCTACTACTCCTTTTCTTCCGCCAGCCATCAATTTGAAAAGTACGCTATCCATGATCAGTGTTTTCAGGGGTTGGTGAAGATTGGAATTCCACTTGACTCTCCTACATTCTACACTGTCTGTGAGGTATGACAATACTGTTATCTTGTTAAGTGCCTAGATTTTATCAAAGTTAGGATTTTGAACATGTTACAGAAGTTGGAGGCAGATTCACCAATAGGTAAGGCATTAATATTTATAGTACTGTTTACTATGATTGTTAGGTGTAAGTTTCACAATACAATTGGATAAATGTTTGAGTTCTGATGATATTCTTTTATTTACTTGTGAGGTGATGTGAACTGCACCCTCCCCTCCCAACAAAAAAGGCTAATTTCCCTCTTCCTCTTGCTCTCAAAATCTTTATTATCTCTCCTTCTCCTTTCCTTCCAACTTTATTATTCTCATGTTTACTGCGCCTGCCTGCCGTCCCCAATTCCCCACTCAACTCGCCACACCGGCTACTACGACCAATTTGTCATGTCTCCCAGCTCCGGACGTCACAGAATTTAAAAGCTACCAGTTGCCACTTTCTGCTGGTCCCTAGGCTTTTCTTTTCTATCCACAGCACTCCACCCGTCCATCCGGCCCAAGCTTATAGCTAGATGAAGGAACAAAGCATAGGCCTCCACTACCCGTGCCAACTGCCTATTTGTTCCGTGTTTTCATTTAACATTTGAAGCTTCAAACCCTGTAAACGATACCTAACCTTTTCCACAATCGTCTTTTATTTCCGTTCCTTGGCTGAGAACTCAAACATTTCTCTCCTCTTCTCCTCAGACTCTCTCCGTTCCTGTCCTTTTCCTCCCTCTCTCTCTCTCTCTCTCTCTCTCTCTCTCTCTCGTGCTTTCGCTCGTATTTCTCTCGTGCTTTCTCATCTATTTTATATACAATCTCCAGTTTCTCTTAGAATAGTGAGGATTTACATGCATATAGCAAACCTGTTACCTTTGAAGTACTCTGATGTTCAACTGATTTGTGTTTTTAAATGATCTGAACAGTGTGTATTTCAATGATTTGACACTCAATCGATTTGTGTCTTAATGATCTCACACTTTGCCACTCAACTGATTTGACCTGTTATCTAAATCTTCAGTTTTTGAACACTTACCATGATTTGTGTTTTAATGATCTGAGGGTTCGGAGCCAACTTGCAGTTGATGTGCTCTGACTAATTTTTACCTGGAGTCTACTTGTGCTTTATGTGCTCTGACTAATTTGTACCTAGAGTTTACTTCCGCTTGTTGACACATGGAAATGTTCATGTTGTAGGCTGAAAAAGCTGCTTTTGATGAGGCAGAAAATAAGAGAGAGGAGGAGGTGCTTTTCATTAATTCTCCTCTGTTGCATAATGTCTTGAGTACATTTGAATTCCATTTCTGTATAGTTTGGACTTTGGACTTCCTTTATACTGCATTATTTGAATAGTGATCATTTGATTATGAAGAGACAATTTATATCTCAAACTCCTGTCTGATTTTGTTTCAGGAAGCAAAGGATGGCCCAGTTGATTCTGATGTAAGTTCCTGACTAAAATGTTGTTCTCAAAAGAGACTCTTTTTGCTCCAGATTTTATTTGTGATATGTTCTTATTGCATGCACTTTCTTATTAGGCTGAGGAAGGCGATGATGATGATGCTGCTGATGAAGCAGATAGTGATGATGCAGACCCCAAATCAGAAACAAAGGAAGATGTTACTGCCGCAGCTGAGGAAAATGTTAAAGTTAAGGCTTGTCTGATCTTTCAGTGTTGAGTTAACTATGATGACTTGTTATCAGAAATTTGAATTGTTTTAACGCTCTTACTTCCACCCTTTTGCAGGATGAGCTGTAGGAAAATACGTACGAGTGCAGTTGTTGGCCAAACATGGTGCTGCGAAGAAGAGCTTTATTGGCAACTGAGCTTTGGACATTTTCATTTTCCTTTTAGCTTTTAACTGTAGAATTGCTGTTTAGGGGAAAAAAAGGATATGGAGGCATGAACTTGGTGTTGCGATACTTCTTTATTCTCATCTGGCTCAGCCATTAGAACCAAAAGAGAAACATGCCTGTTTTAGTTTTAGATTTATGAACAGTTTGGACTTGGAACATTAGCATTGTTAAGATTGATTTATTTCGTAGCTTTCAGCATTAGTCTGACATGGATGCTCTTTCATGTTTTGGAATTAAAGCCCCATTCCGTCAATTTGTTAACTAAGCTGTAAAACTAAAACCCCTTCCAATTTGTTATTTCCCCCGTTCTGATTATTCCTTTTCTTAACATTAGTCCTCAAAATTTTTTTATTAATAAACGTATGATAAGTTGGTACCATAGTAACACAGGAATAGCCTTTTATACAGTGACTATGTTACATTGAAAAATATAAATTTAAGCTTAAAACTTACAAGCCAATAACTAGCATTCAAATACTTTTAATAATAGGCCTAAATAAAATACAAAAAATGTTAGGACTTAAGAAAACATTGCAATTCTATACCACCTATTAATGACACTCAAAATCAAAATGGAAGCTAACAAAAACGTATGATAAAAAAAGATAAATATTTGATGGAATGACAATATTAAAATGAATTTATAATTTTTTTAAAGTCTGTTATTGTTTACCTCTCACTACTAAATAAGAATAATTGATTACAAAATTAATAGTTTAGATGTAATAGACATAGAAAAAAAATTTGAAAGAGAAATCAAAATTCTTAATTTGGAAAATTATTAAAGAGTCGTGCCTTGAAAACAAACTACAGAAATTTAAATGTTGGTCTGTTAATTATAATCATAAACAAGAGGAACTTGTGGGGTACTTTTTCTTTCCTTACTCTGTATTATATACTACATTGGCTCCATTGTTTCGTCAGAAATGGTTTTCTAAAAAATATAAATTACCAATTGCCATTCACCAAATGCATTGTGAGAAACATTCAAGAAATATCAACAAAACTTCGGACTTGTAGAATACATATACTTAAAAATATACTTTTCTACATAAATTATTATTTTGATTAGTTCAAGACTGGGCAAGGCATTTTATATTTCTGCACCTTTTTTATCAAAGCTTTGGCAGGGCATATTTGGCAGTGCATATTATCTTTAGTTGCCTACGCGCATCGCGCGTTTTATACCTCCTAGTATAGAGATAAATAGGTCGATTTACTGCAAAAAAAAATGTAAAAATGGTATAATACTACCACATAAGTCCAAACATGTTTTCTCCCACTACTATATCAGAGGATGCCTAACCTTAGTGCAAGAGTACAGCGGTCCTCTGAATATTACGTCAGTTAGATATTCAGCATATTGATTCTCAGCTGCTAAGTTGTTGGCCAACACAAGGCGCTGTACATGAAAACAACACATGAAGTCATACAATTTACTACCCACAAATGCTTCAAAAAGGCAGCCATATATCATAACAATCGGTAGCTTAAGTAAAAAAAATGTCATACCTGCACCACGACAGGGAGGTACCAGATTGCTACTGTGTAGAATGGATTCATGCGGCGCAACTCACTTGTCAACTAGGTAGCATAGCAATTTATGATATGTGTAGACATATTGCTTTGTCACATTGACTTACATACTATTCAATCTAACTCGAGAATTCAAAATGTGATGACATTATAATGTGTATGCCAATAGCGGCAGTAGTGAAGTGCCACATAAACAAATGGTTAGGGGTGAAATTTAAATGTTGTCGGCAACAAATACTGTGAGAACTCGGGAAAATTTATGGGTACACATCGAACTTATATCATTACATTTAATTTGTTATTAAAAATATTATATATAACAAATAATTGGTTAAATTAAATGCCTAATTGAATTTCTACAAAATTGAGAATTTATAAATATCCTAGAACGTGTAAGAAAAAATTTATGAAATCAAATAAATATATGGCATGTATAACGTAATCTATGTCATTTGCAAATATTACTAGACACGTAACATATACTATATAGTTAAATAAGTTACAAGTCTAGTTAATTTACTTTAAAACCAAATGTGTGAAAATCTTCTGGTTAAATATAGGAGAATTTTCAAGGTGTATACAAATTAGAACAAATGAAATTTGGAGTCAATGCATGAGATAATAAAATTACGGATCCTTAGCAAGCAAATGAGCTAAAATTAAAAGACCAAACCAACCTTGAGATTCGGATGAACAACCATGCAGCCAGCAAAATAAGCCATCAGAATTTTTTTAAAGCAGAAACCGAGAGAAAGAAACATTTGGAGTGTGGCCTGAGTACGAGCAGCTTAGTATTGACATTGTGTAGCACCGCTTGGAAAAATTGACCACCGAATGATATTTCCTTCTTCTGATTCTTAAGCCTTCTATACTGAGAGATAACTGAGTATAAGACGAGAAAATTGTTGGCTAAATACTTGGGCAGTGGCTGAGAGGGAAAAACAAAACTTCAGTTTCTTTCCTTACCACACCAACACCGAGAGAAAACTGAGAGAGTGGGAGAGAAAGCTCGGCTAGCTTCACCATCAGCTAACCAAAATTACACAAACGAAGACAAGGGAGAATACAGCAAGGAAAGCAGGAGAAGCTGGAATTAGGACTGAGGAACCGAGACAGAAACTTGAGCAGCCTGCAACATAGAATCGTAGGTGGAAAGGTAAGAACCTGCACTAACCTCCTGCTTATTCGGTATAAATGAATTATTATACAGTTGCATGTGAATTTAGCAAAGAAAATGCGTCCTTAGCCAGGGTGAAGCTCTGTTTGAAGGAAATGAATCTGTTGGATAGTAATGGAGGGAGTTGAGGGCTGTTATTCGAATTTCAGCCTATAAAATGATGAAAAACTTATGTAATAATTTCTTAATCACCTAGTACCCTTACATACGCATGTTGTGTGCTGGATTCTGGCCAAGAAAAATTAAGTTTTGTTGCAGAAAATCTTGTTTAGAACTGATAGCTTGCTAAAAAAGTCTCTGTCCTCTAGCGGAGAGACAGGTATGGATTGTGCTGATTGCTATCAAAGAAGGATGGAACCGTTAGCTAGGAATGTATGAAATATGTTCACTTTGAGTATTAAAAGCAAGTTAACCGTAGAAACTTGTAAGAATTGGAACCTTGAGTATGAAAGAAACCTGATGCAGGCTGCTATGCATCAGACTTTACAGCCTTGCGCAGACCTGAGTTTCATCCAGTTTTTCTTCTGAACTCTGGTCATGAACTGCCATGTTTAGCTTAGGATAACCTGTAGCTGAAGAAGTGACCTCTGTATGAGTGATTGAGACCTAAAACTGAAAAGGAAAAGGTGAGGAAGTGTCAAAAGATAAACTACTGCCTTGCTGAAAATTTATTGGCTGTAACCGAGAGGGAAACGAAGGAAACTCTAGCTGTCCTCTACAAACTTTAGCTTCTAAACTAACGTATTAAGATGTATCATGTCATAAAGTCTCTTAACTCCAACAAGTAAGGCAGAAACGAGTAGGACCTAACTAAATGTTGAAGGGAGAAATAAGATCAGTTGATTGCAGGAAGAAGGGCCGAGGAAAATGCAGCAGAATGTGCAGTTAAATGGTCTGATATACTGGAAATACTCATTAGCAAACACATGAAATACTTATGATCACTTGTCACGATTGAAAACACCTTGCAACCAGTAAACTCAGGAAAAGCTAGCTGAGTTGGAGGAAAAAAAAAGGGAAGAAGCTGAGGCATTCAGCTGTGATGCTGGGAAGGGAAATATTCACTCTTGAACAGCTTTTCTTTTTGTTTCTATCTCAGTAAACGTCCCCAGAGGATAGCTAAGGCTGCTCAGTGATTAGTAATCGTGCTGGCACCATAAGTTAGAACTAACTGTAGCAAGTAGGGAGTAAAAGCTGCAAATTTGAGCTGCTACATTGTTGGAAAACTAACAGCTAGTGCCAGAAAGGATGACAGATTCTGTGAACTACCACAGGTGACAACTGAGGTTGCCCTGTGGTTTAGTAGCTACGTTTTGCATCATGAGTAAGGTTAAACTAAATCAAATGGAGAGGAAACTGTGAATTTGTATGCTGTAGTACATCCTGACCGAGGGAGGAAGGATTTTGATTAATCTTTCCTTTGAGTTTAGTGCAGTTTTCCCACGTACTGTACAAAGCTAGCTTAATCAAGGTAATTAACTTGTCTAATTGGAACATAAGATAGAAAGGAAAGATTTAATGAAAACTTAGTCAATTGTTGCGATAATAAATGACAAATTTTGTGGATAATGATAGTCGATCAACATGTTTAAATTATGAGCTTTTCACCTTGGATGAAATGCATACTAAGCAAATTGAAGTTTAAACAATTAAAAGTGAAGATTGTCAAAGATTTAGAAACATTTGAGCTGAAGTCCTGTTTTTACTGACCGAATGAGGAAAGAAATGAAACTCCCATGAAATTTTGGGAAATTTAGGTTAATTGGTTGAAAATTAATGTCGAACATCTTATAGCAACTTGGAACTATTTTTATGAGTATTTTAAGGAACTTAAAACTAGAAAGCTAGTAAATTTCACGAGACTTAAACTACAGGTAATCTAGCACTTGATCTAACTTAAAAGGAAGGAATTGAAAGTCTGTTTGTCGTAACTTTAAAATGTTGAGTAGAAAATAGTTTAATCCTAATTCAAATATTTATAAATTATAAACTTGGAAAATACGTATATTTCTTGGTTTAAAATGATAAACTCAATAAGTTTCGAAGTAAAAAAAGTAGAATAACTATTGCATATATTATATTTTATATTTTAAAGTCAAACTTGATTTTAAT